GAGATGTAAACTCCCAACCATTTATGCGTTGGAGAGACCGTTTCTTATTTTGTGCCGAAGCTATTAATAAAGCACAGGTTGAAACCAGTGAAATCAAAGGGCATTATTTGAATGTTACTGCAGGTACATGCGAAGAAATGATCAAAAGGGCTGTATTTGCCCGAGAATTGGGAGCTCCTATCATAATGCATGATTACTTAAGCTGGAAAACCTCATGCACCTATATTATGACCCATTGCACACAATCTGGTAAAATATTACCAGACCAAATATATTGATTTATTAAAGAAAAACTTGAGAGCAGCCTAATATGTACTCTATACATGTCTACCAATTCTTAACTAGAAGATATATTGACTAAAAACTTGAACAATCTAGTTTTAAAACTCTTATCGTTAAGGTGAGAATAGACGACATTTACTCCCCAACTTGAGGAAGAATGTTCAAGAAAGAGTAAATTAGGTTAAAAATATAAGAGTAAAACATATGTGATTAATTGTAAATAATTGTCTATTTTCTTTCTTATCTTATGAAACCTGTATGTATAGAGCTATGATATTCAATAAAAATTCATCAACCATTTTTAACACATAACCAACGCATTTTCTTTAAATGGCTAAGGTAGAACCAATGATGATTATCTTTTAACAGCTTAACAAAACTAAAACCCTAGATTTTGACAGCTTATGCAGGACCAAGCACTAGTCTTAACAGATTAAATAGAACTAATTCCTAATTCTTCAACAGCTAAGGTAGAAACAATAGACAAAAAGCACATATGGGAGGTGGTGAGCCTACCTGAAGAAAAAGGTATTTGAGATGCAAATAGGTGTTCATCATAAAGTACAAAACTGACGATATAATAAACAGCTATAAAATCAAGCTTGTGGCTGAGGGATACACTTGGGTATATGGAATTACTTATCAAAAGACCTCTGCACCTATTACTAAGATGAACACGATCTGAGTACTATTATCCTTAGTTGCCAACTATAATTAGCAACTGCACTATTTTGATGTGGAAAATATCTTCTTACATGTAGGCCGACAGGAGGAAATTTACATAGAAATTTTTCCAGGATTCACAAAGAATATAGGAGTCAACAAGGTTTGCATATAAAAAAAAAGCTTTATATAGACTCAAACAATCATGAAAAGCATAGTTTGGAAAGTTTTCATCAGTAGTTGGCAATGCGGTAAGTATGTTGTATTTCACTCATCAAGCACTCAAAGATTCAGAAGGCGTAATAACCCTCTTGGTATATGTCTACGACATTATTGTGACTAGTAATAATAAAAACAAGAGATAGGTACTTCAACAGTATCTAGCCAAGGAACTTGAAATTAAAAAAGAGTAGAAGGAACTAAAATATTTTCTTGATATTGAAGTGACCCATTCAAAACAATGAATATTCATATGTCAACAAAAATACATCAAACGATTAATACAACAAATTGATCCCAACCATAAGTGAGGGTTAACATAGAAAGACACAGCCATCAGCAAGACGTACCGAAGGGTAGTTAGGAGACTTATCTATTTGTCTCACACTATACCAAACATTATGTATGTGATAAATGTGATTAGCTAGTTTATGCACAATCCTAGAGAAGTGCACTTAGAGGCAGCATATAGATCGTTACAGTATTTAAAAAGAATACCAAGAAATGATATCATATTTAAAAAAAAAAAAAAAACTAGATTACTACTTGAAATCTATACTGATGCAGACTATACTGAATTAGTAGTGGATAAAAGATCTACTACAGGTAATTCTACATTCCTTAGATAGAATCTGGACACACTGAGAAACAAGAAACACAATGTGGTGGCAGGATCCAATACAAAATCAGAATTTCAAGAAATGGATCAAAGAATTTATGAGCTATTATGGTTCAAAATGATTTTGGAAGATCTATAGGTTAAGTAAGATGCTCCAATGAGACCCTATTATGACCATAAAGCAGTAATTAGCACTGTCCACAAATTAGTACAACGTAACAGGATAAAACATATTGAAGTAGACAAGCTCTTCATCAAGGAGAAGCTAGAAAGTTACTTGATTTGCACACTTTAGAGGTCTACCAACTCGTAACTTGCAAATATGTTTACTAAAAACTTAAACAATCCAGCATTTCAGACAATCATCATCAAGTTAGGAACAGACAATATCTATTCACTAACTTGAGGACGAATGTTGGGATGTGTATATATATGTAATTTATTATGTGAGATATAAGACCAGAATACCCATGCATAATCAATTTTCACGTTTCCTTTCTTTACTGAGAATTATATATATATATATATATATATATATAAAAGACCCTTTCAGTTAATAACAAATCCATCATTCTATTTTCCTATTAAGGTATTGCTCTATGCTTAGTGGAGCCTAAGCCCAGGAGATTGGTTGTACGTCAAACATTAAAAAGTAGGGGATTTAATTCTACCTTAACCATTAATATGTAGAGATCTGGTTCTACCTAAGCTATTAAAAGGTAGGAATTTGAGTCTACCTAAGCTATTAAAAGGTAGGAGTTCTTGGTTCTACTTCAGCCATTAAAATTCCGTGTATTCATTATGTTTTAGCCATCAAAAGCTGTGTAGTCTTCATTTAAGTGAATAGATTCCAATCCTTAATTACTAAAGGTAGTAGATGCAGATCATTTGGGATGACTAACATACTATAAATCTGTTGCTTTCATTTTTATTTACCTTAGTTTACTTTATTCTAATTCATTTTATTTTATCCTTCTGAAAATTTGAAATTATATCATTTTAATTGGATCACTTACTCGCCCGTCTATATGCTACCATTCGTGCCAACAGTAAACCCCTCTGGCATAATTCACAAATAAAGAATGCATATCGTACATGGCAAAGAAAAAATTGCAATTGATGGTAATCCAATTACATATTTAAAAAATGAGGATCGTTAGGGAATTTATACACCAGACCTTAATGTGCCCATCATGTGCAATTAATATGTTGTCTGGTTTTAAATCACGATGCACGATCCCAAGAGAGTGCAGATATTCTAAAGCAAGAACCTGTAATAAATTATAGTCCATTCAAAGACCAGCATCAAGTAGAAGAATGACAGATGTTACACAAAATAATCTCTAACCAGTTCTGCAATGTATATACGAGCCACATCTTCCTCAACGCAACCAACTTTTCTGAGTAAAGAGTATAGATCACCTCCATTAAGATATTCCATAACCAAATAGAGGTGTCTCTACAGGTGAATGAATAAAAAATCGAACCTGCATCCGGATACAAACCATATATCCATTCACTGGAGATAAAATTGATAGGTACAAAATCTATACGAAGCATTA